AGGAGGGCGGCGAGGCTGACACGGCCTCGGGGCCGCGGCCTCCCCCGCCGAGCAAGACATTCCTTTCCGCTGAACCGGGCGCCTGGGCCCGCGCCGCGCCCGGCACGCAGCGCCCTCGGCGGCCGGGCCCCGGGCGGGGACCACGGGAGCGGGAGGAAGGCCCGGGCCGGTCCCTTCTGCCCCCAAGCGTTGTTTCCCAGGAGCTCACTGAACCCTCTGCCACCCCGGAGGGAAGGGATGGTTACAACCATGTAAGGGGTAGAGGACCTGACCCGGTGAGGGTCATCACTGCCGCGGTCCACCCAGCGGCTCGGGGCCTCCGCTGCCTGCCCAGAGGGTCTAATCCCCTCTCCGTTCCTTGGCCTGAGTCTGAGGTTCTTCATTCACCGCCCTCTCCCGTGGTGACTGTGGGCCTGGTGACAGCTCTGGGGGCCCAGAGCCAGGCGCACAGCAGAGGCACCTGAGCCACCGCTGAACGGGGCCTGGGCACTTTGCCAGACGCCGCCAGCCCCAGGGCCGGGTGTGGGTGGGAGGTGTCTGGAATTATTGGTTTACCAGAAATGGCCATGTCGACGGACCAGAAAGTAGTAGAAAGAACCTAGGCCCTTGGGGTCTCTAGGGGGACTCAGTATTCAAGGAGGCTCCTGGATGCTAATGGAAACTCCAGTCAAGCCACCGTTGGCTTCCGTGTACCCTGCTTTCCTTTTAGGGGCCCCTGCGTTCCCCCAACCCGGGCACCATCTGGTCCCTTCCAGCTCTGCCTGCTCCCAGCCAGGTAGTAAACTGGATCTACCAGGGAGGCACATCACAGGTCCCTGCTCCCAGCTGTGTGGCTATGTGTCCTGCTGTGCAGTTGTGTGGCTTTGCTGCTGTGAACCTCTCTCACTCATCTGTGAGATGGGTTAGTAACAGTGCTAGCTTTGCCTGGGCGCTAGAAGGTTCCATAAGGCCATGCCAGTCCTGATTTAGCACAAGGCGTGGCACATGGTAAGCGCTCAGCACTTGGTCACTGTTGCTTGTTATTTCTGAGGGACTCACCTCGGCCTAGGAAGCCCCCTCCCTGTGCCTGAAGCTGAGCCTAGAGAGTGCGGAGCCTGTTCAAGGGCTGAGCGGCCTGGCTCCTCCTCCCAGCCCCCGCCGAGTTGAGTGTCGAAATCATACCAGACGAAGCTGCTGAGCAGAAATTTCCAGTCTCCCTGGCAAAGCTGGGAAGAGTTTGGGTGCGGCTCAGAAATGCAGCTGGTTAGGCTCTGCGGGGCCAGGGCTGGGGAGGGACCCCCCAGATGTTCTGCAAGACTCAAGAAGCACCCCTGACCCTGGGAGAAGGGCGCCTGGCCTCAAGCTCCAGCTCCTGAGCTGCTTGCTACAGCAGAGGCAAAAGCCCATTGTCCTCTGCGGCCAACGGAGGGCTCAGGGCAGGGGTGAGATCGGGGTGTGAATGCTGGATTTGCCCCTCCTTTAGCATTCCCCTTCACCCTGAGAATCTGAGCATACACCCGTGGAAGATGGGAAAACAGGGTTGCTGCGAGGTTTGCAGGAGATCCTGTCTATGAATGCATAGCACAGCCCCTCATAAATGGAGGCTGTTTGCTTTAGTGACTGTCCCACTTATAACACTTGTGGGAGCAACCTGACCTCTGGGGGGCCCACCTTGCCAGTTCCTTGGCCACTAGGAGTAGGGGCCCCCAATCAGGTTGGTAGGATTCACTGGGGCCATGGGGTCCCTATCCTAAGCATCTTGAAGAAGCCACAAAAAAGCTGGCAAACAGGCAGACCCTTGCTTTGCTTTCAGGGCTGTGTGACTCTGGATGAGCAATTCAGCCTCTCTGAGCCGTGTTCTCCCTATCTGCAAAACAGAAACAGAGGCCTGTGACCCTCACTCACCAGAGGGAAGTAAGCATTGGAGTCGGAAGAGACTGGACTGAGTCCCCACACTGCTCCAAACTAGACGGGTGACCTTGGACAAGGCTGAATGAGACTGACTAATGCTAATTAGAGCTTGCTGGCCACTCTGCTTCAGGCCAGTGCTGGTTGTTTTACATACATTGTTATCTCACTGTTACTCTTGGAGAGAGACTGTATTAACTTTATTTCCCAGAAGAAGTAACTGGGGCTCAGAGAGGTCAATTCACTTTCTCAAGGACACACAGCTAGGAAATGATAGAGCACGTTTCGAACTCTGATCTGCTGGCTTAGAGCCTGAATCCCTAAGGAAAAGGCAACTTGAGTATTTAAAATATATATACCATTTTCAAATGCCTACTACGTGCAGGACATCAAGGTAGGTGCCAACAAAAATAAGGGTGCCGGGGCCCCAGGCTTTGAGAAGCTCACTGCTGAGTGGGGACGTGAGACTCCAAGGAGACTCATGAGAGTTAGATGTGAAAAGTAGCACCACAAAGGTCTCCACCAGTGCTGAGGAGCACAGGAGACAGGTGGGTTTTGGTGTAGGGGATGTGAAGGGAGGAGAGCCGGGGGAGGAGGCACGGAGGCCAGGGAACAGTGAAGGCTGGTCCTGAGCAATTAGTGGAGGGCACAGGGCCATTCCTGGAGGCCAGCACAGCAAGGGCAAAGGCATGGTGGCATGAGAGAATATAGCATTTCTGAGGAACTGCCAACAGCCCAGGATCAGTGTCAAAGAGGGCAACGGGGAGAGAGAGGGGAGTGGTGCTGCAGAGGCTAGGACCAGGCTGCAGAGCCTGAGAAAGCTCCCTCTGCTCTATTAAAATGGGGAACCATCGAATCCTTGAGCAGAGGTGGGCATCATCCTATGGAAGTTTTAGAAAGATAGTTCTGTAGGCAGAGAAATGTCCTGGAAACACGCACAGAAACTAGGACATTGCATGAACTTTTGCAGGGCTTCCTTTAAAGAAACTTTTGTTTGCCCCGTATAGGTCTAACTATTCCAACAACAACAAAAAAAGGAGGATATTTTTAAAGGAAAGGGGAGCCAGGAGGCAGAGAGACACAGGAGGCTGCGGCAGGAGGGAGCCTGGAGTTAGCCCAGGCAGGGCTGTGGGGACTTTGAGACCCCCCTCTTATCTAGATACTTAGCCTTCCCTGACCGATGACAGTTTCAGCCTGTCCCCTCTCCTCCCAGCAGTCTGTCCCCTTCAAACTCCTCCCCACTGGTTAGGCTGTGGGACACAGGCTGATCCTTAAATGCCATTCTGGGCTAAATGGGGACAGTGACTCCATGGACCTCCCTATGTCCTTGAGGACAGACTGTCCCAAGTAGTAGCACCAGGCACTGTGCTAGATGCTTCATGGGCAGTGTCTCTTACTCTGCATATAATCCAGCAAAAAATGTGTTCCTCTCCTTATTTTACAGATTAGGAAATGGGGGCTGTGGCTTGCCCAAGCCCTTACAGTGAGGGGGGAACGGGATTCTCACCGGGGGGTGCTCACCTGACAGTCTCGACCACTACCCCTCAGGCTCCTCAGAAAATCCGCCTCCCTGGATCTCCTGCCCTTGCCCTGCTCTGGTTCCTGTTATGCCTCTGAGCTGTTTCCCCTGCATGGAATGCCTCTCCTCTCGTAGGACCAATACTCCTAGGCAAACTCCTATTCGCCCTGCGAAGCTCAATTAAACATCACTTCCTCTCCAGAGAGCCCCCTGACTGCACCCCTGTCCTCTAATCTGTGTTCCTGTGGAGGTCGCAAAGAGGGGAGAAGAGACTCAGGGGACATGGCTGAGACATGAGTTCCAGCCCAGGCCCGCGTGGGTGGAGAGGAGGAACAGTAAGCTTG